TTCAAGTCTTTCTTTCTTTCTTTCTTTCTTTCTTTCTTTCCGAATGATTGGCCTTTCGGTGGGCTCCAACAGCGGAACGTGTTGCCAGTTGTCTCTACTTTCGTAGTCCCGGGTCCTTCGGCCTTGTACTTTTTTTTCGTTTCCGCCCTTCTGAAGACTCGTTGGCACCCGGAGGTCTATCTAATGTGAGTCCTAGCCTTCGGTCCACTTACTATAGGTTTTCATGTGAATGCATGTACTTTGGAACTTTACCAAAATGCTCTCGTAGATGTTTGTCGTTTGGACGGTTGTGTAGGTCTGTAGGTGCGTGGTGCGTTGTACGTCTACAGAAGTTGGGTACAAGTAGGCCACTTGTTGAATTAGGGGTTGTTGTTGTTGCTTTTCTTGCCACGGGCTTGGTGGAGGTCCTATTGTCTGTCTGTTCTGTTGTTGTGGACATGTGCGCAAACCATCACAGTATCCGTATGTGAGTGTACACTAAGTGTGTTTGTAGTTTCCTTTATCTGACTCTACATTCTTTCATCCAGTGACCTGTAATTTATATGCTTGGTTTGTTAGCATCAACCCCTCTTCTCCCTCTTCCACGTGTGCACGCGCTTCTCTCTTTCCCACCCTCTGTCTGTCTGTCTGTTTTGTGTTGCGGTGCTGACCAATTTTGGAGTGTTCACTCGGCAAAAAGTTCAATGGCGTCCAATTGCAAAAAGAAATGTTTAAACATGAGGGGAGAGAGAGAGAAAAAAGTCATTCTGAATCCCGCTTCCTCCCCTCTTATTCAAACAAGAAAGAACAATAATAATGTTGAATGGTTGAACATCATCTATGTTACATTGACGAATCTCTACCGCAGGAATAAATCCTGCATAGGTCAAAGATATGCATGGACGACACAAAGCAGTTCTGTGGTCTGTCTGCTCCGTCTGTTGTGTCTGTCTGTCTGTCTGTCCATCTGTCTGTCAGTCTGCTCTGGTTTGTATGTCTGTCTGTCTGTTTGTCAGTTTGTCTGTCTGTCGCCTTGTCTGGTCATTCATTCATTCATTCAGTCAGTCAGTCAGTCTGTTTGTCTGTATGCCTCTCCGTCTGTTTGTCTATCTGTCTGTCTGTCTGTTTGTCTATCTGTCTGTCTGTCTGTGTGTCTAGTTTGTAAGTGGATGAACCAGAATGAAAGGCTGTCTGATGGTCCAACATGTCTGTGTGTGTGTGTGTGTGTCTGTCTGCCAGTCCGTCTATCTGTCTGTCTCCTAATCTGTCTGTCTATCTGTCTGTCTGTCTGTCTGTCTGTCTCTTTCTTTGTTTCTTTTGTTCTTTGTTTCTTTCTTTGTCTAACATTTCCCCCCCCCCTTCTTTCTTTCATTCTTTCCTTCTTTCTTTCTCTTTCTTTCTTTCTTTATCTCTTTCTTTTTTTTTTTTTT